AGCTCAATTTCTGCTTGTTGCATTAACCTATTAGCATCGAAGCGAACAAAATGATCCACAAACAAATTTCGAAGCATTAGAGAATGAAAGAAAGTTTATAAACATCTTTCTTTCGGAACTGATGCTAATGTAATATTTTTACGTCACCTTCACCGATATTTTATTTGGTTGAATGGTGGTCTCAGAAGTTTTGATAGAAAGTTTCCACTGAAATGGAAGACAGAACAAGGACCTGGAGTATTGAAATTTTGTCCGGAGAGAATTCGAAAAAAGTGAATCGATTAGAAGTTGCTGCTAGATTATTTCTTTTGGTTCTCGAGAAAGACGTAGAATTTTCTCTGTTAATTAGGAAATTGTAGATGAGTGTCTCTCTCCACACTTCATGTTCTTTAATTTACATTTGTCTTTAGGGTGCGTGCGGAAGCATTCCAGTTATAATATGTAGAATCGAGTTCTTTGGCTTTGGACGGCTACGCAAGGGGGTGGGTGGGGGGGGGGGGGGGTGGTGGATGCGTGAAGCTGTCATGCAAAATTCTGCAAAAGATGACAATGACCATCGGCAAACAAGATGATAATGATGGTATCTTCGCTCATTGTGCCATTTTCTCCAGCTTTTTTATAACATCGCTGCAGCAAAAGGAGAACACCATAGCGCCTTTTGCCCAAATATCTCCTACCCTTTAACACACACGGTTTTTACCGAGTGGAAGGACAAGTTAGCAGAGGCAAAAACTTCCCAACGTGATGGTGAGGACTCAACCCAAGTATTAGTAGACAAAAATGCAATTTCTTCAACACCTTCTAATTCTGTCCCTTCTTCACAGCTCGCTAAGGCACTCACACAATCACAAACCGTTTCGAACCAAACTCCATTTTATCCGTGAAATAATGCGTCAATTAAATGGCTAAAACTGTCAAGTGTGGGGTACCGGACATTTCGCTGCCGCCCTTTGGCCACCAGCCAATTCGCCACTCAGACTTTTTGCCGCCGCCGATTCGCCGCCCAGACCTTTCGCCGCCACTAGGCATGCAAATTTCTAATAAATCTATACTCTCTTATCTATGAACCTACGAGAAGCTGTTCCAGGCAATTAAAACTTTGGTTCAACAAGCACAATCAAAATATTTTTCAACTGATTTTGAACTAGCTGTTATAAATTCATTCATCTCAGTTTTTCCCAACACTGAAATTGCTGGCTGTTTGTTTCATCTTATGCAGAATATAAGAAAGAAAGTAGCTGACTGTAGCCTCTTAAGAGCATATCGAAATGACCCAGAAATTGATCTACGAATTTGGATGGTAGGAGCATTATCATTTGTTCCACTCGAATTTGTGGTTCCTGCGTTTGAGCATGAGCAGCTGGAGCCTAAAATTGACTGATTTACTTTTGCAACATTTTTTTTTTTTTTTTTTAATCAAATAACTTGTAACGTTTGTTCATCATGTGAGTTGTGTCAACTTTTTAATAAAAAATCATTTTTCAATGTTGTCTATTTTTGTATATGAATAAAATTAACCATTCAAGGCTAAGAAGGTCTGTTAGAGAACATTCGCATGAATTCCTCCATTTGTGGTATGGTAAAGGAATTACATAACGATCATTTTTGCCCAAAAAATCTCAAACTTTGGCAGCGAAAGGTCTGGGCGACAAAATGGCGGTGGCGAATCGGTGGCGGCGAAAGTCCGGTCCCCTAAGTGTGGGTATGGTTTGCTCATATTGTTTCTTTACTTGGTTTTTAAATTTTATTTTCAAGTTTGCATGCTGGACAAGGCAATTGAATTATTGCTGACTTGATGGGTACCTAGAGAATCTTTCTCAGACTTGCCTGAACTGATGCCCGTATACTTGAACAACTGATCTTTGTCAATGTTGGAAGAAAGAGGTAACGGAGGCAAAGATGTGCAACTTTTGTAGGAGGAAAATTTCCATTTTTCTATTAAATGAATAATGGTTATAATTTCAATCTCAGTGGAACTGAGTTATCAACCAGCCATGGAATTGTTTGATAATGCCAAATTATACGGCATTAATTACACCAACAAAATATTTCTGGTCAATTGTTTCATTCAAATATCAAGAATGAATCTTTCATTCTATTTTTCTACTGAATACATATGCAAATAATGATTATGATATTACTCACAGTAGAACTGAGTTACCAGCCAGCCATGGAAATGTTTGATAATGCCAATTATATGTACTTCATTCATTACATTAAAAAAATATTTCGAGTCAATTGTTCTATTCAAATACCAAGAATGAATCTTTTATTCTATTTTTCTACTAAATAAACATGATTATGATATTACTCTCAGTAGAACTGAGTTACCAGCCAGCCATGGAAACGTTTGATAATGCCAAATTATACTTCATTCATTACACCGAGAAAATATTTCTGGTCAATTGTTTTATTCAAATATAAAGAATGAATCTTTCATTCTATTTTTCTACTAAATACATATGCAAATAATGATTATGATATTACTCTCAGTAGAACTGAGTTATCAACCAGCCATGGAATCGTTTGATAATGCCAAATTATACTTCATTCATTACACCGACGCGACAATATATATGTATTTCTGGTCAATAGTTTCACTTGAATATCAAGAATTGATATTTTATTCAATTTTTCTATTCAAAGTATATCATGCTTATATGTATACATTGCGAGTCCTAGAGAATCAAGGACGAATTTTAAAAGAAGCAAGAGCTGAAAAAAGCTGGGATACACATTTTAGGCCTCAACGAGCACCACACAGCCTCCAAGTACACACCACAAGAGAAACTCCACAGCAGACGGAGCACTGCTACTATACACGAATAATTAACGTCAGAGGCCATCGTCGACGATACTTCCAACCACATCCTCGCTATTGTGGCTCTCGCAGCAGAACTATTACTTGACACAGCCGCTGTAGCTGTGCTGCTGTGGTTGCTGCATGCCCCTTCCACCTGGCGCCACGACTACGTCACAGTGCCTCGACACAGACTTCGTCGTGCTCGACCGACTAACGAAATTAACTTTTTACACCCCCTATTAGAGGAAGGTGACTGTGGGCTGGAAGGTAGGGGTGCCAAGTTTGATCGAAAATGAAACGACGACGACGAACGAGAAACGATGAGAAACACGAACCCGATCGAATTACCGTAGATTAATTTAATAAACGTTTCACTTCTTGGTGCGTGGTGTTGACGTTGGCGGCTCGCAGTTGCAGATCTCCTGGAGGAGGTGTGGGTACGTGGAAACCGCGGTAATGCGAAACGCAAATATTTCCAGGTCGAAGGATCATAAGGCAAATAGAAAGGGCGGACGGAG